ATAGGTATTGTTTTAAAAATAATTTTTTTTATTGATTTCAGAGAGGAAGGGAGAGGGAGAGATATAGAAACATCAATGATGAGAGAGAATCATTGATAGGCTGCCTCCTGCACACCCCCTATTGGGGATCAAGTCCGAAACTTGGGCATGTGCCCTGACTGGGAATCAAACTGTGACTTCCTGGTTCATAGGTTGATGCTCAATCACTGAGCTACATCAGCCGGGCAATAGGTACTTAAAGTACTTTAGACATGCCCTAGCCAGTGTGGCTCAGTGGATAGTGTCAACCCGTGGACTGAAGGGTCCTGGGTTCGATTCCGGGCAAGGGCACATACCAGTTGCAGGTTCAATCCCTGGCCCTGGTCAGGGTGTGTGCAGGAGGCAACCAATTGGCGTGTCTCTCTTACATCAATGTTTTTCTCTCTGTCTCTCCCTCTCCTTTCCATTCTCTCTAAAAACCAAAGGGAAAATATCCTTGGGGGTGAGGATTAACAACAACAAATACCTTAGACATTGTTTTTCTTGGTGTGACCTTTATTGCTGATGAATGGCTTAGTGTTGTTTCCCTTGGTAAATATTTCTCCTTGTGGTGTGTTTGGTTTCTGTGGCCCAGGACACACAGACCCCTCTCTCCACGATGCACACGGGCACTTCACCACATGCACACCGGACACAGCAAACGCACAAGCGCCCTCAGATTCAGATAATTTATTTTACTGAATTTAGAATCAAGTTCAACTAAGCATTGCCAACAGGTAACAAGATTCAAAGGTCAGAAAAATCTAGTTAAATCACAAGGAAGCAAGCTCACACAACTCTGTGGGCCATTGGTGGACTTTCAGTTTGATTCTCAACACCAACTAATGTGCAAGTGTGGCCACGTGAGGTTACTATAAATGAAAAGTGACACACCACAAGAATCCCCCAGAGAGAATTATTCTTATCTCAAATGGAAAGCGTTAAACAGAACACATTTATGCTCCCTTATTCTTTTTGTAATTCCTAACTGCAAAAATAACATTATAACAGAACAAATCTTTCTCCTTGGTTGGTCACGTCATTTATTATTGAAAGGGAAAATCAATATCATAAAACAGAAAACACTGAAATAGAAATAACCAAATAATTTACTTGTAGTTTTGCTGAATTGCACATTACCAGACAAAATCCTAAAGCTGATTTTTTTTTAAAGCTTGGAAAACACATTTGCCTTTTTGAGTTTCTTGCTAAGTGAAATGCACGCTTCTTATAAGGAAAACAATTCTACGTAAGGCCGAGTTAAAATTTGAGTATAGAGCTTTCCAACCTGAGTGCACAGGTGTGGACAACAGGTGGTGAACAAGTGATCTCGGCCTCCAAGGAGGCCAGGCTGAGCCACCAGCAGCCTCTTCGGTTTACCCCCAGGTTGGGGGGTGCTGTCTAAAGGTAGGAGTATGGGGTGAAATGCGCAAAAACCACTGGTACAAAACAGTATGTTTGTACTTTTACTGCGATTTCCTTAAATGGACTGTAAAATCTTGAGAACAGCCTCTGGGGTCTTCACAGGAGCAGCACACAGTATGACCACAGGAGCAGCACACACTATGACAGTGGAACAGAGTGTTATTGCAGTGGCTGCTGCCAAGACTGAACACAGAATGTCTTCCTTTGGCAAGGCTTCTAGCAAGTACCCACCAGTCTAATTTCTTTTGCTTTCAATTACAAGTATTCAGAGTTTACAGCCTTCTTGGCCGGCCCTAAGTGACATTAATTCTTCCCCTGAATTAAGTTCTCCACTGCTTGCCTCTCACAGAAACCCATCCCTGCACCACCGAGAAAGCACCTGGCCGTCTCTCTCCTGTGGTATAAGGTGGTGAAAAAGGATGTGAGATCTTGTGATTGCAGGTATTTCAACACAGCACAGTGAGCCCTCCTGAATAGCACTTTTTAAATGTGTGTGTGTGGGGGGGGAGGGGGGCTGGGGGGGGGGAGAAGCACATGATTCCTGGTTTATTAGAAAAGTGATCTTGAAAATAATCTAGAGGAAAGGTTAAAAAATGAAATTCTGGTGCATAAACAAATATTTTAAAATTCAAGTTCGGTCACTTGTCTTGCCCATCATTTTTGTGCCCATGAAATGGTAACCCCTAAATTAAGGGGAATTCTGTGTGTCCTTTCTTGAATGTGACTACTCATGCAGGGACAGTAAAGGGACAGTCAGTAAATATTTTAGGCTCTATAGGCCACAGAGTCTCTGTTGCATATTCTTAATTTCTTTTTGTCTCTAAGTTCTTTTTAAAAATTGAATCACAGTCTCAGCTCAAGGGTCTTCAGATTTTCCCCGTGGGCAACAATCCATCAAGCTCTCTGTTCAGGGAGCTCCCTGGCAGGGAGCATGGGCACTGAGCTGTGCCACATCTAAGGCTGTTTGGGCCTTGGAACCCTAATTTGGGGATTTCTTTCTTTCAGTGAGTGAGGTGGCTCCTTGCAGAGGGATCCTGAGGCCGGGTGTAGAGCAAGGCTCCAGGGTCCGTCCTTGCACTGCTCCCTGAACAGTACAGAGCAGGACCAGCGGGCATCCTTTACTCAAACAGTAGCTATTTACGGAAGGAAGTCGTAATTCAGGCCTATTTAAGCCTGTGCCTTGACTGTAAAGGCAAAATCACGTACACTAAGCATTTAAAATTCTTTATTCTGCAGTTTTGGGCCTTATTATTCCAAATGGTTGGTGGAGAAAAGCTCCAGTGTAAACTTACTTCTTCTTCACCACTAATGCCACCCCCAGTCTAAGAGCAAACCCAACTAAGAACTCGAGGAGATGCAGACCGGCTCATTCTATCTCCAGAAGCTCGCTTGTGGCTGGCTTCTGATAAGAAAAGGGTTTACCAGGGACCAAAGATTCAGTATCTGGAGACCAGCATTTCTAAGCTGGCTCCTTGTGGGGGACAATTATCTCCATCCTCTCTGAAATAAGATTCTCTCCACATTAGCTGCTGTAACACACAGCTCCTCCCACCTTCTGAATATCTGAGAAGCAAATACAGTGGCACCTTGGTTCTTGAACTTAATTCATCCCATAAGGCTGTTCAAGAAGCAATTTGTTAAAAAACCAAATCATTTTTTCTCAGTAGAAATAATGTAAATGGAATTAATCTGTTCCAGATCCCCAAATGATTCCATTTTAAAAACTTTTCTTATATACACTATATGCCTAATGTAGTTTAATGTATTAATAAACACTTTTTAAAATTTGTCGAACTACCCCTTCCTAGCCGTAAAGGAATCACTTTCAGGACTCATTCCAGGGTGTCTTTCAGGTCAGCATGCAGCATCTTTGCTTGTTCATACATCACTGCCTCTCAAATGCTGTCACTGGCTAACTGCTTTCCTTTTATCCAAATCTACCTCTTTAATCATTGTTTCTTTCACACCCTTAGCAACATTAGCACTCTTGATGGCCTCTTTATGTTTTAAAATTGTGCTAATCATTGATTTTGCCAGCAACAAAAGCATTCTCTCCTTTGTTGCCTGAGATGCGCTTTTTGTCACACTGAGGTATCAGCATGAAAGTGTTGTCAGGTGGAAGTTTGGTTCAACAACAACAGAGACCTTCTTTCTGTGAACAACCTGATCGAGAACCAAATTGTTGAAGATGGAAGACATTCGAGAAATGAGGTTTGACTGTATTCTACCAATAATTCTTTCCTTGTTAGGATATTCATTTTGAGGAACATAAGAGAATCTGCATTTCTTTCACAAATCTGTAATCTTTTAAAATCATCAATATACAGAATGCCATGATTTTAAGTAATAAACAAGATAAAAATCCCACTTAGAATCTCAATTCTTTCTCTAATCAATGATTTTTTTTTTTTAAGCAGCTGATAGTTCTCAAAATATACATCTGGTACCAACTAGACAGATTTAACTCTTCTGGGGTTAAACAACGCGCGCGCACACACACACACACACACACATACACACACACACACACGTAATTCAACTAAAAAATCTAAGCATTCCCAATGGTTCCAAACTCAATGAACTGGTAAAAAACAACTGATCTCACATATGCCAATCCAGTTGTCTTTTTTAGATTTCTATTTAAAATTATCAGACTTGTTTTCTTCAAAATGTGGATTTATAGTAGCATTGCCAATGCAGCCTTAACCCCAACAGTAATAAAGAGAAGTTATCAAGTTAAGTATGGGGTCTTCAGAATAAAACTGCAGAGACAACGTTTAATTAAGAGGGGAATACCAACTTAAGTTGGAAGAAACATGAGCACAATTAAACAAGCAAAGATGCACTACTAAGAAATGCTGGCGGGCCCAGCCAGTGTGGCTCAGTGGTTGAGTGTTGACCTATGAACCAGGAGGTCATAGTTCGATTCCAGATCAGGGCACATGCCCAGGTTGCAGGCAAGACCCTCAGTAGAGAAAGTGTAGGAGGCAGCCAATCAATGATTCTCTCTCATCATTGTCATCATTGACGTTTCTCTCTCTCCCTCTCTGAAGTCAATAAAAATATATATATAAAAAAAATACTGGCGTACCTGTCCGTTGGCACCAGCTCAATTTCTAGTAACATCAAAACCAGTGAAACTACAAATTTTCCAACTCTTTCAAAGCCACTGGAAAATGGGATAAAGAAAGTAATTACCTATGGTCAGAAAAAGATCAGAAAAAGATAATAGTAATGGGGATTTTTCTAAATAAAATAAAATGAAACAGTAAATTTTAAAGTGTGTGTTTCCAAAAGAGCACTGTATTCCTCATTCTGTTTCCTTAGCATTTTTTTCACATGCACACACACACACACACACACACACGGCACTCTTAGTAATTATTTCACATTTTTCAGGTCTTTTCACTATAAATTTTAAAAATAGTTATCTCCTGGGAACTAGTTTTCTCAATTTTGGATATTATATTTCTCTATTTTAGATTTTGATTTTTTGAACCTGCAAAGAAAACATAGTGACAGACCTAAACAATAAATAAAAACTAAACATCACCCTCTTTAGGTTAGAGCTTTCAAGATAGAGGGAAAAGCATTTTAATTTCATTCAGTAGGTTCTGGGTTCTGTAAAAGTCTCACTCTTCAGTCCCATCTTCACCATAGAAAACACCTTTGCCATTTCCCTCCACTATCAAAGTGCATCTGTTTAAAATTAAACATACCTTAAAGAAAAACCAAAAATCTCCATAATTTTTGGCAGATGTCCTATGTAGCAAGTATGAAGTGATTTTCCCTTCTCCCTACTCCTTGGTTTAAAGCTGTGTACCAAACAGTGGCAAATGCATCTTCCAGGACAGCAGAGTTTACACACAATGGATTTTGTTTTTGTTTCAAGGACCAAAAAGGGAAGGGAAAAATAAAACAAAGATAAAGAGAAGAAACCCTGAGGCAAAAATGGCTTTTCCTTTAGAAGGTCTTCCTGGGCGATCACTCCTGTTCCTGTTCACAAGGTTCCCGCAATCTTCTGGGCTGGAAGGCCCTCCTCCAGCCAGAGGGTGGCGGCTGCCCCACTGCGCAGCATCCGCCTGTGAATGCGCCGGAGCCGCAGCAGGTAGAGGAGGATGGACAGCAGGACCACCAGGAAGCAGCCGGAGAACAGGTAGTGATTGTAGACAAAGGAGAAGCCCCGCCAGTGAGCGTGACTGGCCCGGAATGCCTCCTGCTGGATATCTCTGCCCACATGGAAACAAAAACCATCAACCATGAGAGGTCACAGCGGACTAATCGGGCAATAATGTGACATAACAGTGCACAGGACATGGGTTAGAGGGGCATAGGTCAGGACACAGCTCTGCAGACAAAAACTAACCTTGAGACTCAGTTTCCTTCCCTCTAAAATGTAAGATAATATGGCCTAATAGAGGGCACTTGCAATATTAATGAGATAACATGTGAAAGTGCACTCATCATCCTAATTTGGTTATAACAAAAATCAGAGACATATAGAACTGTGAGGGTTTCACTATACATGGAAGGCAATGTGGAGTCAAACCATGTTTCTGATCAGTAACACCCACTACTCACAACTTTTGCAGTTAGCCCCGCTACAAGTATTGCTTGCAGATGCTCAAGGAAATGAAGTGGTGGTGGGGGAAGGGGGGGGAAGGGGTCTGAAAAAGCTAAGACCTCATTTATCAGTGAACCAGGGATCTTCTGTGGAGGTCAACTGAGAGCCTGGTCTGTGAACCTGAATGGGGAAAAGCACACATCTTTCTTTACCCAACTCCACCTAACGTAGTGTCCACTGGACATGAATGTAGCCAGCAAACTACTGTAGTAGCAGCAGGACCTGTGACTTTGTTCCTAGTAAAACTCACAGGTCTCTAGTTCACACTGTGGTGCTCTGCAGATGCCTTAAAATACGACACTAGGACACTACACTGAAATTACAGAAGGTACCATTTCTGTTGCCAGACCTTGTAATTTTATGTTAATAAAGAACACAGATTACTATATTACAAACTTACTTTCTATAATATTTTGATAAATATATTTCAATACAATGGTTTCCTCTGTAACCTATATATTAATGTTATGCATTAAAAACATTATTTTGAGAAGGGCTCCAAGGCCATAAATGTTAAGAACCCTAGAACTGACCCTTCTGTGCAGGGGTTAGGGAGCTGACACTTGAGAATAATCAAACCCTGTGCTGCATATGAAGGGATGGGGAGGGGCAAGGGAAGAAGGACTGGGGGTGAGGGCGGAGCAAAGTCAAACTCATTGAGTCTGCAATTCTGCCCACGGTCAGTGCTAACAAGAATGCCCAGACATTCACAAACCACAGGTGCCATGATGATCGCAAACGAGAGAAGCATCTTGTGTTTGATTCTTGCTCCCAATTCACACCCATACCTTAATGGTAAAAAGCGGGTCCTGTAGAGGATTGCTCCGAGGGTCCACTGCACCTCCTTGTCATACACCTGCAAGGCTGTCTTTAGGGTTTTATAGTTGACAGGAAAGGAGAAGCCCCTGTGAAACACCTCGAACATCCAGGCAGACTTGAAGCACTGGTACCTGCCAACACCAAGCACACACAGACGTGGGACTGACTCACTTGTCAAAATAAACTGTCACGACAGTCTTCCCCTTTGGGACCAACGTGGCTGTGACGGCTTCATGAGGCCAGTGCTCTGTGCAGCCACACCAGCCGCTTGCATTTCAAGGTGATTGACGTGGTCTATGCCCCTTATCCCACAACACAAAACAGTTTACCTGGCAAATCAACCAGCTCATGAAACCTGGCTCAGGAGAATTTAGTACATTGCGTGACACAATTTTTCCTCTGGCATTCCAGATCTTATTCATTAAATAAATGCTGAGCAAGTTCCAACTTCTTAGACCTCATTTTCGTTATTATAAAATGAGAAGAGAGGAGGGTCCTTTTCTCTGTTATTCTGTGATTCTAACTGTTTATCAGAGGCTTACTTTTTGCAAAGCAGTGGGCTAAGCAAGTTATTAAGACACTAGAGGCCTGGTGCACATTGAAAGGAAACTAATTAGAAGGTGGCAGGCAGGGCGGGACTGGGCGAGATGGGCCAGACACGCCCTGGAGCCAACCTCCCTGGGTCCCTCCCGGGCTGGCCACACCTGGCCGTGGTTCAAAGGGCGTCTACGGAGTGAGCGGGGTCCCTCTGGCAGGTAAGGTCCCTTGGCTGAAACCGGCTTTCTGACATCCCCCTGAGGGGTCCCAGAGTGCGAGAGGGCACTTCGCAAAGTTGCTGTCGTACAGGGTGTGGAATGCAAACACAAGTGTGCAGTAAACCCAATTTGGGGCCAACAGTACCCAAGTAACAACATAACCCACAGCCAAAGGTGAAATCGCATGGCCCTATGAGGAATCGGGCTCCCTCCTCTCTGGTTCTGGGGTGCATCACCAGAGAACCGCCGCTGCCAAGTCACTGCAGCTCAGCAGCTCCTGCGTTAAGCGTCTGCCCCTGGTAGTCAGTGAGCGTCATACCTACCAGCCAGTCAGCTGGTCGCTTAGCCTTTTATATATATAGTATAGATAATAACTATAATAAGTAATAATATGATATATAGTATAGATAATAACTATATATCTATATATAGTATAGATAATAACTATAATAAGTAATAAGATAATAAATATACTTAAATAACTTATAATGAAAGGATTTTTTTAAAGCAAAAAATAACTATCAACAAAGCAGAAAAGGTAAACACCACTGGAGAGACAGTCTGGCTGAAAGACTCAAAAGGGACAGCGCCCACCCTGACTAATCTGGGCAGGACTTCAACAGCCAAGGATAAAGAGAGGAATCCAGGTGGAAAGTGCAGTAAAAGTGAGCAAAAATACATTTGGAGCAATATATGTTTGGGCATAAGTATTTGTCATCATGTTTGAAAGGAGGCCAAGACAGAAGAGGAGAAACAGTGCTTGACAAAGATAAACAGGTGGCTGGGCCTGGGTGCAGCGAGCTAGGGGCCCTACTGAATGTGCTGTTTCTAAAAACACTCTGGGCTTGGCTGTCCATGACTTACTTTAGCCTGTGGAGGTCAGCGTGAGAGGCATACAGTCCTCGGTCAAAGCGTTCTCGTAAGATCGACCACTTTGTTGCACAATAATCCTGAAAGAAATTTTACCCAAAATAAATCATCAGAAAAGGTTTATTAAAAATTTGTTTCACTGAAAAAAGTGTTTACCAAATTCTTACTCATAACAAGCATATCCTTCCCATTAGAACAGAAGCCTCACTTGTATGTGTGTACCAAGAAGACAAGGCACACAGACATGCAATGAATACTACTCATTAGCAGAGTGCTTGTTCTTGGTCTTAAAATTCTGCCAAAGTTACTATTAAAGAGACAGTCTCTCCCACAAAATTCGGGGAAGACAAAAATATTACAAAAGACTGTGTCTTTCAGAGAAGGGAAAGAAATGCCACCTTTCCCTGAAGCTATCTGTAATCATATTAATAGCTTACATGTATTGAGCACCGTGTAAGTACCTTTTCTGGATGTAAATCTTAAAATGACTCCTCAACGTGGCTACTATTCTAATCTCTATTTGAAGGATGAAGAAACTGAGGCTCAGAGAAGCTGAGCAACTTGCAACAGGGCACCCGGAGAACAGCACTCAGCCTGGAGTGAGAAGGTAAGGACAGGCATCTCAGGCACAGGAACCACCTTGATGAAGATGAAATGGGAAGTAGCACTCGTGAGGGAAACCAACAGCTGTCTGCTGTGATCACAGTATAAAGAGCTAGGTGGGGAGATGACGCTATAGGGTGGGGATGACATGCTAAGGGATCTGAAATGTATCCTGGAAGGAAAAGGAAGTGCTGCAGGTCTTAACAGGGCAGGTGATGGCACGGCGTTTTAACAGAACACTCTGGAAGTGGCTGGAAGATGAATGATGAAGACGAGATGCAAGAAGGCCAACTGGGAGGCTCCCGCAATAGGGCAGGTGACAGAGGCCGGGACGAGGACAACAGTAGGACAGAACGCAGGGAGGGCTCTGAGAAATATCTATGACATCAAGTAACAGGGGTATCCAGCAAGGGATGAACAAGTGACGGGGGAGTCTATAACTCCTGGGTTTTCTGGGAGGGGACTGGATGGTTAGTGATGCCATTAACTGAGACCATAACAGGGACAGAGTGGGGAGAAAATGGTGGATGTATTTAGAGTCATGACATCTAGCAGACACGGGGTGGGGGTCAGAACTGCAGCCTCTTCTTGCGAGACAGCAGCAAATCATGAGCATGGATGACACCATCCAAGAACTTGAGGGTCAGAAGGCCAAGAGTGCAAGTCTGGGGTCACCAAGGTTTAAGGGGTTGTGAAGGGGGAACCCATGAAAGAGCCTAAGAAAGTGTCAGAAAGGCAGGGAGAACAAGAGAACAGAAGTAGGAAGGCTGCATGGAATACTGTCAGATGGTAATTCCACTATGCACACTAGTGTGAAGGGCTGTAATCTGGGAGCCACTGAGAGCAGACTAGTTCATGGAGTGGGGGCAGAAGTGAGTTTCTTGCTCCTGCTGTGACTATTTCTCTCACCCAATTCCCAATGACATCCTCCACCTTTCCTTTCTCTCGACCTGGGCCTGGGCCTCCAATCGTAAAGGGAGGACGTGACCTGCCACTGTCTATACCAGCCTCTCAAAGCACATAGAAAATGCTTTCCTCGAAGGTTACCTTTGCAGCTTTAGTAAACGCAACCGCGTTGTAGTCTCCTCCCATTCGTAACACATCTTCAGTGCAATAGTAGAATTCAGAAAAGCCATAGAACTCGCTGTTCCGGAAGTGGATGGGGGGCTGGTAGACACCATTGAGGGAAGTCTGTGTCTCGTTTGTTTTGTTCATGAAAGGCTGGAGAGTCTCTCGGCACAGGTCGAAGTCTCCCGTTCCTCGCAGGTACATGGTCTGCCCATTTTGCTGGATTTCATCTTTAATGTCTAGGGGCAAGCAGGGGTCCAGGTATGGAGTGTCAGGAGCTAGACCTGTCTGCTTCCCCAGGAGCCTACAGGACAAAGAGAAACTTTGTCATGAGACCAACAGAAAACTGTGCCCAAAGAAGTGGCTCGGAGCCAGTGCCTCTCAAAATGTGTTTGGTGGAACACAGAGGGTTCTAGGATAATTAGGTGAGGGGAAGACACACCCGAGCCCCATTTGGAGATTATGAGACACGCTTCCATATGGCAGACACCTTCAGAGTCCAGTGAAACAACTACCTGGTCATGTGACCCAATGCCTTCCGTTCCTTGCACACAGCCTGGAGTCCCCACCCCTGAGTGCTCATGGTTCGTAAGCTCTGCCCACTCCTATGTTCACAGCTCCATTTTTGCCACTAGCACTTGCGATTTTTTATTATATAAAGATGAAATATGACTGAAAAAAAGGTAGCAAGTGAAAATGTATCCTGTGAAAACTAGGTTAGCCCTAACCGGTTTTGCTCAATGGATACAGCGTCGGCCTATGGACTGAAAGGTCCCAGGTTCGATTCTGGTCAAGGGCATGTACCTTGGTTGCGGGCACATCCCCAGTGGGGGGTGTGCAGGAGGCAGCTGATCGATGTTTCTCTCTCATCAATGTTTCTAACTCTCTATCCCTCTCCCTTCTTCTCTGTTAAAAAATCAATAAAATATATATATAAAAAAACAACAAAAAACAAAAAAACTAGGTTAGATGTCTTAGAAAAATATGATAAAGGCAAGTTGCCAGAAAACTGCTGTCAAATTAGGTGTTAATAAGATTTAAGAATAATTTAGAAAAAGCAATAAAAATCTAGACAGATTTGGTATCAAATTCTTCAAAAATGTCTTTAAGTTCCTGGTATTCTTTAAAGAAAGTTAAAATAATATCGAGCTGAGTGAGGGTAGTGTACACCTGAGAAATGATGGACATTGCCTTAAAACAACACTGATATTTTACTTGACTCCCCATTTCAGATATTTTTATCCATCCAAATGGCTTTTCTGTTCTATGGATTAATTTCAAATAAGTAATTGTTATATAGTTAAACTTTTAAAATAAATTTAAACTGATAGAGTGTTGCTTTTATTTGTTTTACATATTTTCTATACCAGAATTCTTCAGAAACTCATTTTAAAAAGTTTCACGGATGTGTTTAAAACCACTAACTTTGACTTCTAGATCATTTCTTTCTCTTGCATAACCTCCTTCACTATGGTCTTATCCACTAAATAACTGCACAGGCTGGTTTTCCAGAACATCACATAATTCAATTTAATCACCACTCTACCACACTTCCTGCAGGCTCCAGGACATGTGCCGTGGGGCTAGTGTTGAGTTTCCCAAGGGCCTGCAATCTAGAATGCATTACCCAGGCTCAAAACTACTAATATGCTAAGAGTGAAATTCTCCTCCATCAGGGGAGTGGGTCTGAGGGACAGCCAGCCTCCTTTGGAGCCTGGTGGGATGTCAGGCTGAAGGCAGGACCCTGGTATCCTTTCACTTCCTCTCTCACGCAGCTGACAGGCTTCTGCTGATGGAGGTCTCCCTGCTTTGCCTCAAATGTTTTCTAGGAGGACAGACCTGGATTTGAACATGCCTGCTGAGCAATGAAAGGTGCTTGCTTTACCTGTTCTTCTGGAACGTGTTGGCAAATATCTTGTCTTCATATCTCTGTCGAGCAGCATTGCCACCAAACCCAAGAAATGTGGCCACATAGACTCGGTACACATGCTCAGTCTGGTGAACATCACATCCCAGGTTAAATTCAGCCAGCAAGTTCTTAGCTACTTCTTCCTGACGACGTAAAGGTAACAAATGTTAATATTTTAAGCAATACAAAAACAATCACCTTCTTTAAAAAGAAGGATCTAAAAAATTCTCATTTAAATGCTTCTGTATTTCCTTTTAAGCGTCCCTCCTAATTCAATATGATAAGTCTGACTTAAGAGATTTCAGATGCAATGCCCATTTGTGCCCATTTGTGGAATTATTACAACTTTTTGAAAAAGTAAGTTAGTAACATAGTTCATTTCTGCTAAATCTGTTTAAGGAATCCTATGCTTTGGAAGTAATCCTAAACATTGAAAAGTCTCTGTACACAAATGTCCTTTGCAATTCTGGGACAGAAAAAGCTGGATGTCATCTAAATGTACGACTCCTAGGAAGGTTTATAATTTATGCTAATCAAGTTCATGGAGGAAGATACTTATGCGCTATTTAAAAAAGGGCACAAAACTGCATAAACAGTAAGATTATAACCATATTTTCAAAAACTATAAAAGGGAAAAAAGAATGAAAAGAAGTAAAGCCAAAATGATAACAATTTCTTCATATGATTCATCCATAGGACATTTTTAATACTGATTTGTATTTTTCCAAGCTTGCTTTATATATTTTTACTTTATTCTGAAGGGAATGACATGACTTTTTACCGAGTGTAAGTTTACAGAAGCATGTCTAGATAGGAAGTAGGAAACACTGATTGTAATACTTGAATTTACAAAGCACTCTTCTAAGGAGTTTAATAAATATATCATTTACTGGGCAAACACCAGGTGCCCAGCAATGTGTTAGATATATGCACTATGTCATTTAAACCTGATAACTCTATGTTAGAGGCACTTGCATTCATATTCATAGACGGAAACCAACTTAGAGAAGTTAAATTACTTGCATAAGGTCACACAACTAGTGAGGACAGGATGGCGATGCCGCCTAGGCTTCTTGTCCAGCACCAGTCTTTTTTAACTGACACTACGTTGCGTGAAAGTGGAGGAGACCCGGCTTTGGTATTAAATTACAGCAGAATGGAAACAGGGTGATAAAGACATGTAGCAACTCAGGAATGTATCTGGAAACCCTTCTGCTGCTCTCCCCACAAGGCCACCGGCCCTTGGAAAACTGCAGTGACAGAGAGCACTGAAGGGATGGAGAAAAGACAGTAAACCGAAGTTTAGGAACATAGAAGCAGTGAATACAAACCTCAGTCCTTTCTGGAAAAGTCGAAAGCTATCTGCACCGTTAAAAAAAAGTATTTTCCCTAATTATATCAAGAAATCTGATGCTATTTTAAGTTTTTCTAATCCCTGATGAGAAAAGAACTGAAAATAATATACAAAATTCAAGCATGTGATTGGCATGTATATCAAAGAAGAACTCCATGTAAGTTCAGAAAACAAACCAGCTGACTTCAATGACCAAACACAAACGGCTTAGGGGAGGTTTGCCTTGGCTTCCTCCTGTCTCCTTTGTCCTGGGTTGAGCAGAGGTACCTCAGCAAGCACAGTAAAGGCGTGTTCAGACTCAGAAAATAAAACAAAAATGGATGGAGACATGTTAAATGAAACCAAATCAAAAAGAAGGAAATTTGTACAGATAATAACCTGCTGTGAGGAGGCAAAGCTTACAGTTTTGGGGACTTCGTATGCTATCTGAGTGGACACGCCTCCCATGTCGAGAATACCGGCAGTTCTTTTCCGGAGAATGGCTTCACTGCTCTCACTTCCAGGAATGTTAACCTCCACGACTGCCTCATCATCTGGAAGCATGAGAAACACCCATGGGAACAGAGCAGATCCAGAGAACTGGGATCTTCACAGAGGCACCTTGTTTTCACGGCATGTTTCAAACATTTCTAGGCAAACCCAGCCTCCTCTTCACAACTAAAATCAAGCTGTGCGAAACAGCAACTCCTCTCATTCCACCTACACACACTTAACTGTGTCACAAAACTTAGCTCCTTTTTATCCTTTCACTACATAGAAAAAGCCACAATTTCCAGTTACATGCATTAGTTGGAAACATGATACTTACCATCTTCAATATGCTCAAATCGTCCGAGGACAAAATTAATGCCGATCCAAGCATACACACCTGTAGACATTGCACAGGGTAAAGATAAGAATAGTTTTTAAATACTTTGTATAACTCTGATCAATGCTGTCTGTGCAAACATCTCATTTATTTTACTCCCCGACAACCTGTGAAAACATCATCTGAAATAACACATTTCTACTATGTATTTTATCTTTTCCTAGTGGCTTTACAAGAAATCCCTAGTTTAAAATTTATAGTTTCATATCATTTACATAGGTTGAAAATATAACTCCCTAGAGCAGTGGTTCTCAACCTTCTGGCCCTTTAAATACAGTTCCTCATGTTGTGACCCAACCATAAAATTATTTTCGTTGCTACTTCATAACTGTAATGTTGCTACTGTTATGAATTGTAATGTAAATATCTGATATGCAGGATGGTCTTAGGCGACCCCTGTGAAAGGGACGTTCGACCGCCAAAGGGGTCGCGACCCACAGGTTGAGAACCACTGCCATAGAGGCGAAGTTTCCTTAGAAATTTATAGGTTGTTTTCAAATACTGGAGTTTTTATTTTTTATGAAGTTAAACCTATCAGTTGCAAGGTTTACAAACAAGTTAACTTTGACTCTTCCGTGTCCTTTATCCCTTACTTTCACTCATTTGCAACACCTGATTCTCTTTTTACAACATTTCCTATATCCAATATCTTTACCCATTTTCATTATCATCGTAGTTAAGCTGTTACAGAGATCCAATCTTCCTACCCCTACTCTTCCTCTCCAACCCACTCTATTCTCTGCTACTGAACTGATCTACAGAACAAAGTCCACATTTCACAGCTGAACACTTCAAGACCTGTCCAATATTTTTAATTGAATAAATTGGACATGTAACATTCTGTAAGTATGATGTACAGTGTGTTACTTTGATACATTTATATACTGTAATATATTGCCCTAACAGTGAAATTTATATTACATAATCATAGTATAATTTTATTATCTTCATTATGCAGTTGAATTTAAACCTGGTATTAAGTTGACCTGCACAATTCAAACCCTCAATGTTAAAGGATCAACTGTACTGTGCATTAGATCTCTATGGCTCATTTACTAAACACCAACAATCTACCCTCAACCCCCATTCTCTGGTAACAACCATTTTACTCTTTTACAGGTTTGACTTTTTCAGATTCCAAAAATAAGTAATATTATACAGCACTTGTCTTCCCATGTCTGACTTATCTAGCTTAATATAATGTGCTCAAGGTCCATCCATGTTGTTGCAAATGACAGGATATCCTTCTCATGGCAGAATATTTTTTATCCATTGATTGTTGATGGGCACTTGGGTTGTTTCTGTATCTTGGCTATCGTGAACAATGCTGTGATAAACATAAGAGTGCATATATCTTGTCAAAGTCCTTTTTCATTTCTTTTGGGAATAAAATATCTAGAAATGGAATTGCTGGATTGTACGGTAGACCCATTGTTAATTTTTTGAGAAACCTCCATATTGCTTTCCATAGTGATTAGAACAATTAACATTCCCACTAACAATGTACAGTATAAGGGTTTCCTTTTCAACACATCCTCACCAGCACTTGTTCTCTCATCTTGTTGACAGCCATTCCACAATGGGTGTGAGGTGATATCTCATTGTGGGTTTTTAAAATTTTTATTTCATTTTTTCCATCACCATTTTCATTGTGCTTGTAATTTGCATTTCCCTGATGACTAATAACATTGAGCATCTTTTTATGCTCCTGTTGGCCACTTTGATGTCATCTTTGAAAATGTGTTTCACTCTTCTGACCATTTTTCAACTGTATTGTTTTTTGTTGTTGTTGTTAAGTTGTATGAGTTCATTTTATATTCTGGACATTAACTGTTATCTGATATAATGCTTGCAAAAATTTATTTCCATTCTGTGGGTTTTCATTCTAATTGTTTCTTTTGCTGTGAAGAAACTTTTGAGTTTGATGTAGTCCCATTTGTTGATTTTTGCTTTTTATGTTTGTGCTTTTAGTGTCATGTCCAAAAAATCATTGCCATCATGAATACTGATGAGCTTCTTCCCTAAGTTTTCCTCTAGACATTTTATGGTATTAGGTCTTACATTTAAGTCTTTGATCCATTTTGAGTTAAATTTTGTGAGTGGTATAGACAGGGGTACAACTTCATTTTTCTGCATGTGTTTCTCCAGTTTTCCCAGCACCACTTGTTAAAGAGACTATCCTCCCTGCACTGGGTGTTATTTCCCTTATTAGCTGACTGTCTAAAGCAGGGATTTACTTTTGGGCTGTTTCCCTGGTTGATGTGTCTATTGTGACTGTACCATATTGTTTTTATTACTATGGCTTTGTAGTAGTTTGAAATACAGAAGTGTAATACCTCCAGCTCTGTTCTTTTATTCTCAGGATTGCTTTGGCTATTCAGGGTCTTTTATAGTTCCATACACATTTAAGAACTGTCCTATTTCTGTGAAGAATGCCTTTGGTATTTTCATGGGGACTATGTTGAATCTGTAGATGGCTTAGGGTAGTACGGACATTTAAAAAATATAAATTATTCTGATCCACGAACAAACACATACTGTCTTTCCATTTGTTTTTTTTTTTTATTTCTTTCAGCAAAGTCTTATAGTTTTCATTGTACAGGTCTTTCACTTTCTTGGTTAAATTTATTCCTGAGTATTTTTGCTTTTGATGCTATTATTTCTTTTTCAGATGCTTCATCATTAAAGGAATACAACTGATTTCCGTGTATTGTGTATCTTGCCACTGTACAGAAAATGTTGACTCAATGATTAGTCAATTTCTTGAATGATTCTCTGGGATTTTCTATATATATCATCAGCAAATAGTGACAATTATACCTTTTCCTTTATAATTTGGATGCTTTTTATTACTTTGTCTTACCTAATTGCTCTGGCTAGGCTTCCAGTACTATCTATAATAATAAAATATGCTAATATGCTACTTAGACCAGACAGCTATATGACCTGGACGACCTTCTGGACGAGGGCAGCTGCCTCAGCTGCAAGGGCTGAGCCCCTTGCACAAATTTCATCCATCGGGCCTCTAGTATTGTATAAGAGTGATAAGAGCGGGCATCCTTACCTTGTTCTTGATCTTAGAGGAAATACATTAATTTTTCCCCATTGACTATAATGCCAGCTATGGGTTTGTCATATATGGCCTTTATTATATTGAGGTATACCCAATCTATTAAGGGTTTTTCATAAACAAATGCTGTAATTTACCAAATGCTTTTCCTGTGTCTACTGAGATAATCATGCTATTTTCATCTTCCATTTTATTAAAGTATTAAGTACTTATTGATTTGCATATGTTGAATCCTTGTTGTCTCGGGAATAAATCCCAGTTGGTCATGGGGCATAATGTGCTCTTGATACTGGTTTGCTAATATTTTGTTGAGAATTTTTGCATCTATATTCATCAGGATATTGGTCTCCAGTTTTCTTTTCTTGTATCCTTATCTGGTTTTGTCAAGGTAATGCTTCATAGAGTGAGCTTTGGAGTGTTCTCTTGTCCTTGATATTTTGGGAGGAGTTTGATGAGGGTTGGTGTTAACTCTTTAAATGTTTGGTAGAATTCTCAGCCATTTGACCCTGGGGTTTTCTGTGTTGGGAGTTGATTACTGATTCAATCTCTTTACTCGTTATTGGTTGTTCATATTGTTTATTTCATACTGATTCAGTTTTGGTAGGTTATGTTTCCAGTATATCCATTTCTTCTTTTGTTGGTATGTAATTGTTCATAATAGTTTCTTTTGATTCTATGCATTTCTGTAGTACCAGTTTTGTTATCTTTTTTATTCTCTGGTGCCTATTTCATTTATTTCTGCTCTGATCTTTATTATTTCCTTCATTCTACTAACTTTGGGCTTGATTTTTCTAGTTCCTTGAAGTGTAAAGTTAGGTTGTTTATTTGAGGTCTTTCAAATTTCTTAATATATGTGTTTATTGCTATAAACTTTCCCTTCAGAACTGTTTTTGCTATATCCCAGGATATCTGATATGTTGTATTCCCATTTTTATTTGTTTCAAGACAGTTATTTCCCTTTTGATTTCTTTGATCCATTATTGTTTGGAATGTTGTTTCGTTTCCATATATTTGTAGATTTTTCTCACTTTCCTCTTGTTGACTTTTAACTTTATACCACTGTGGTCAGAAAAGATAGTTGGTATGGCTTCAATCTTCTTAAAATTTGCTAAAATTCCGATAATCTATTCTAGAGAATGTTCCATGTGCACTTGAGAAGAATATGTAGTCGGCTGTTGTTGCCTGGATTGTTCTGTAGATGTCTGTTAGGTAAATTGGTTCTAATATGTGGTTCAATTCCAACATTTTCTTGATTTTCTGTCAGAACAGTCTGTGATTGCTGATAGTGTGGTATTGAAGTCCACTGTATTATTGTATTATTACCTATTTTTTCCTTAAGATCTGCTAATATTTGCTTAATATATTTTGGTGCTCAGGCGCTGGGAGCATAAATAGGATGTCCCAAAAAATATATACACACATTTTGAATAACTATAAAGGCAGTGTTTATTAAAATACATTTCATTTTCAAAACTGACCTATTGGCTATTGAAGTGTGCATACATTTTTGGCGGACACCCTGTATATTTATGTCATAGCTTCTTGATGTATTGATCCGTTTATCATTATATAATGACCTTCTTTGTCTCTTCTTACCTTTTGTCTTGAAGTCTATTTTGTCCAATGTAAATATGGCTACACCTGCCTTTTTAAAGTTTCTATTTGCTAGGAACACTATCTTCCTTTAACTTTGAACCTGTGTGTCTTTAGAGCTGAAGCAAGTCTAAAGTTTCAGCTCTATAGGTAGCATATAGTTGGGTCTTCTTTATTTTTTAATACATCTAATCACTCTGTGCTTTTTGGTTGGTGAGTTCAAACTATTTTCATTTAAGATGATTACTGATTGGTAAGGATTTACTATTGCCATTTTATCTTTTGCCTTCTGGTTATTTTGTCTTCCTGTTATTTCTTTATCCTTGTTTCTGTTCACCTTTGTAAGTTAGTAGTTTTCATGCTTATTTGCTCATTCTTCCATTTGTTTGTTGTTGTTTTTTTTGTATCTCTTCTCTAGATTTTTGCTTTGTGGTTACCATAAGGTTTACATAAAACAGCTCATAAATAAAAGTATTTTTGGCTGATAACAAATTTATCTTCATTTGCCTATAAGGGTTCCATCTTTTTACCCTTCCCCTTTTATATTTTTCAAGCCACCAATTATCTTTTTATGCTGTGATTTTGTTACTAAGTTGTAGTAGTTATTTTTAATGCTTTCCTATAATGGTTATGCTATAATTGTTTGACATACTATTCTAAAAAGTTAGTTTCTAATATTGTCTATCATCTTAATCAGAGTTTTGTGTACTTCTGTCTTTTCATTTCAGCTTGAAGAGCTTTCAATATTTTTCCTAAGGCCGATCTAGTGGCTGGTGAACTCTCTCAGCTTTTGTTTGTCTGGGAAAGCCTCAGTTTCTCCTTCATATCTGAAGGAGAACTTTGCCAGATAGAATAATCTTGACAGGCAATTTTTATCTCTCAGGACTTTGAAATTGTCATCCACTCTTTGTTGGCCTATAGTTTCTGCCGGGAAATATGCTGATAGCTCAATGGGGGTTCCTTTGTAGGTTACTGTCTACCCCGCACCTCGCCCCCCCCCGATGTCTTTACAATTCTTTTCTGACAGTTTCAATATAATGCATCTTGGAGAAGGACTTTTTGTGTGTTGAGATAATAAGTGTTTTACTAGATATGTACATTCAGTTCATTCCCCAGGTTTGGGAAGTTCTCAGTTATTTATTTAAATACACTCTGCTCCTTTCTGCCTTTCCTCTGGTATACCCATTAATCTTATATTGGCTCTTCTAATGGAATCTATAGTTCTTGTAGGATTTCCTCACTTTTGAAAAATCCTTGGTTCTCTCTCCTCTTCCACCTGAAACATCTTTATATTCCTATCCTTGAGCTCATTTATTCTCTCTTCCATCTGATACGCTTTTCCCTCCAATACTTTATCTCATTTACTGAGTTCTTCAGCTCCAGAATTTCTTTTTTTAGAATTTCAGTCTCTTTTGTAAAGTACTCCTGTTCATTAATTTTATTCCTGAGTTCATTTCATTGCCTTTCTGAGTATTCCTGTAGCTTGCTGAATTTCTTCATAACAGCTTTTTTGAATTCTTTATCAATTAGATCACAATAGTCCATGTCTTTGTGTTCAGTTATTAGAAAATTATCATTTTCTTTTTGTGATAATATATTACAGTGATTATGGTGTTTGATGAAAGTGCCTCTGCTGAGCATTTCAAGTAGTGAATACATTTCTTATCTAGGTAAAGCTTGGTTTATTTTGAGTCTAACAATTCAACAAGTTCCTAAGTAGAGTACTTTCTTTTATTTTCCAGAAGGTGGCACTATAGCACAAGTTTTTGGTTTCTCTTACTGGAGCTCGGTAGGTTGGCTGCATGTTCATAAAAAAAAAAGTTGATGGAGGGGGATTGAGGGGTAAGAGTGGCCACTGAGTTAGGGGAAGTATGTGCTTAGCACTTGATGGTTTGGGTGTGTCCACAGAACAGAGAGGGGTATCCTCGAGTGAGGGGTGTCCCAGATATCCATGGGTGTTCTCTTTGCCTTTTCCCTTCCCCAGTCATTGTGATGTCTTCTCAGAGACAACAGGTTCCTCCAGCTGCAGCACACACAGCCAGATAGACCCTCACTCAGCATCTTCATCCTCCACCTCCTCTACCAGAAAGGTTGTCCTGGCCTGCTGCACCCCCCCTGCCACTACTCGCCTGGCTCCACAGCCTCCTCTAGGATTCAATCCACCCACTTTCTGGTAGACAGATGAATAGATCTTTCAGGTACCCTCAGGTGCTATGCAGAGGTGCTGTGTGTGTGTGTGTGTTTGTGTTGTTTTAAATGTCTAATTATAAATTAAAGGGGAGAGAAAGAAGGAATGATTCACGCTGCCATGATGATGATGTCACCAAGACCTGTCCAACTTTTTCTATTATTAACACCTTCAAAAGGGCCATAATGCAGTCAAACTAAAATATTTTTGTTCCTCCATCTATAGTGCAGCTTTTTCGACCTGTGTTGACTCAAACAATTTCTTCTGCCTGGAATGTGCCCTCTCAGAGCCCTACCTATGCCATGCTTTGGCATGCTATAACTACCTCATTAGTTCAAATGCCATTTTATCCATGATGCCCTTAGCTAGAAATAAAAAGTCTTCTTCTTTCAAATTCCCATGATCTTTTTTCCTTACCTTCCTTAAGGTATCTAAAACTGTAACTCATTTAGCAGTTAACTGTGTACCTCTCTTGCTTGTAAACATAACAATGGCAATGTCCATATTTCACCCAATTCTGTATTCTCTACAGTGTCTTTCATAGAGGAGGCATTTGCTAAAATGATAGATGACTTTAAAATAAATGTTTTTTATTTCCATTTCTAATAAGCTATTAATCAAATAATGTCACTGACTTGTCATTTAATTTACAAAGAAATCATTTCTTTGAAAACAGAACTAATATTTTCTCAGTGTATCAAAGTCAAGAATAATTTTCCCTTCCTAGAGAGAAAATCAATAAAAGGCTCCAATAGCTCAGTAATTATTGTAATTCCAGAAAGCTGTATATCTTAGGCAAGGAGCACAAAACTTTTCTATCAAAAGGAGTTTAAAATTCATTTCCTACATGTGGTGAAAATAAATTATTTTTGCAATGGCTTAATGTTTGGATAATAAAGGTCAGCTATGTAAGAAACGAATTTAAACATTTAAAAATTATAATATTTCAAAGCTATGGTTTTCCAAATTTTAAGATATTAGGAGTAACGTAATAAAGTATACACAGTGGGAAATGGAGGATTTAAAGCAAGTTTCCTAAATTTCAAAGTGAAGACCAATATACCAACCTTCCTGTTTCCCTGAAATTACTTCTGCATGAGAGTCAGAAAACAGAAAGTCAAAATGCACAGGGATATCAGTCAGAAGGTCTTCCAAGATGGCTTTTTGCTGGCTGTAAGACAATCCAAAATTGTACATATAAAAACATGACATACTGAATTTTTGTTTTTAAAAAGGACCCCCCCCCACCCCCATACACACACTATTGCTCTGGTATATCCTATATAGTTTAAAACCAAAGCAATTCATTGAAAAGATTGTTTATTTTAGGAATGAATTTTCAAGTGGAACAATGAATGAATTTTCACATGTGTATATTATGTGATTCTTAAATATAAAACTACAAATCCTTAAACTAATAATATAGAAAATCAATTTTTCAAATGACAACTCTATAGTTTACTATTTACAGTCATAAACAAATATATTAAAAGATAGTGAGTTCTAGCTAGGAAATAGTTCTGGCACTATTCTATATTTCAAAAAAGAAATTTAAATGTCTTCCTTTTGGTGATGATGATGGAAGGGGAGGAAAAGGAAGAGGAAAAGCAACAGGAGGGAAATGAGGAGGAAAATATACCATCATCACCACCACCACCACAGGCCTGGACTGCTCTCACCTTTCAGGAAGGACCCTCATGCCAGCTGTGCAAAGAATGTAGAGAGGGGTTTCTTTGTGTTTTGCCCGTGGCACATGCTCTGCAGCAAAGTTGAGGAGCGGAGAAATGTAATCACTGACTTTCTCTGGAGAGGTAGCAAATTCTGAAATGCCTACAGAAAAAGGACACCTCTGTTAACAAGCAGATATTTCAGCTAGTAAGTTATACTTCTTCAATGTGGCTAATTTGAGAGAAATTCAAGCTATACACCATACTTTCCTTGTTTTTTCCTATCCCTCTGGCAACACCTTTCAGTTTCTCTTCCTCAAATGATGGTACCAAACGTTCAGTCCCACATCCTCTTGTTCTTACTCATCAAAAATCACAGACCTAACTGAGCATCATATGTGTCAAACACTTGGAGTTGATTGCCCTTGGGAAAGAGCTCCCACTTCCCTCACTCTCATGGTTGGCATCACCATCAGATTTCTCCTATCAGATCTCTTCTCCAATCTGCAGATCAGTGTGTGGTTACTGCCCAATGAACAAGGCTCACCACCCGCTCACAACCCAAATCTGGACTCAACAATAAACCTGCTCTTTCTGCCTGTAACCCGCCTCAGTGACCACTATCACTAGCCATCCAGTGGCCCAAGCTGATATCCTAAATAAAATATCTCTCCCTCATTCCAACATGTATTGTGGGTTTCATCCATTGCCTCTCCTTGGTTCCTCTCACATTTTTTTACTTCTCTTCATCTTTTCTGAATACCCCCACCCTCTGCCAGCCTACACATCCTACTGCCCAGTCTTGAAATTCCCCGACCATTCCCTATGCAAAAGGGGTCTCTTTCTGGCTTAAAATCCTTTGGGCTCCTCAATGCCCTCCAGATAAAGCTTAACTCTAGAATGGCATCATAACCTGCTCTGCATACTCACCCGTCCTGTCTCTTCCCACATTCCTTCCATTTGGCTTCAACTATATTGAATAAAATTTCTACATCATACTCTGGCTTTATGGCCACTGTACCCCCACCAGGAATAGCCTTCTCTTTGCCTCCCTGCCCACTTCCCACTTCTTTTCACCTGGCTAACTCCTCCTCATCCAGAGCTACTTCCTCTATGGAAGTCTTCACCAGCAGATCCCTGAAGATGAGCTCTCTTTACAGTCTATGCTTACCTTTACCTCTAGTCGAAGCATTCATTACCTTATCAAAATTACCTACTTATTAACTTGCTTGTCTCATTTCAACTGGAAGTTTCTCAAGGGCACAAACTGTGTCTTGTTCAAATTTATATTCTTAGCACTAACAGTGTCTAGAAAATAGTAGGTGCTCAGCAAATATTTGCTGAATGAATACATAAGTAGTGAATATTCCTGTCACTGAGCCTACAATACTAAAGATGAGGGGAATTTTAGAAGTCCAAAAATTCCTTACTTCACAGACTAGGAATTTGTGGACCCAGACAGATAAGTGTTGCTGTAATGCTGTAGATGAGAGACCATGCTTCCAGATACAGAAGAGCTATAAAAAGGTTCTTGATGGTCTACTTCAAGCTATAACAAGTGCTATATAGTTTGTTTTTTAAAATCCTGGTGAATTTTTCAATTGATCAATATTACATTAACCCTGAAAATGTTTCTAGATTAGGAATACACAAAAATTTCAGGGGTGGAAAATAGAAAAGTAAAAATTAAAAGTCATCCACTAAGACTTAGAGAAAAAATGATCTTTGTTAACAAAAATGTACTCTGATTCAAAATAATGCTTGCAACAAGATCTCAAATTAAGTTCCCTCTCTTTTTTATTTCTTTTTTAAAAATATATATTTTATTGATTTTTTTACAGAGAGGAAGGGAGAGGGATAGAGAGTTAGAAACATCGATGAGAGAGAAACATCAGTCAGCTGCCTCCTGCACACTCCCCACTGGGGATGTGCCCGCAACCAAGGTACATGCTCTTGACAGGAATCGAACCCGGGACCCTTGAGTCCGCAGGCCGATGCTCTATCCACTGAGCCAAACCGGTTAGGGCTAAGTTCCCTCTCTTTATTCTGAAAAATGAAGTAGAGATTTTGAATTTTCTGAGCACTATGCTGGTGCCAATGCCTAAACATCAAGGGACAATAACTTGTTGAGGGTTGCCTACAGAAGGAAGTGGGGCCTGAATTATTCAATGGAGAATGAGTAGGACTCAAGGGGTCTACAGTATATGTAATTACCATTTTATGAGGACAGATATTCTATTATGTTACAATTGAAGGTCCCTCCCTGGCCAGGTAGCTCAGCTAGTTAGAACCTCGTCCCGGTACACCAAGGTTGCAGGTCCAATCCCTGGTCAGGATACATATAAGAAGCAACCAATGAATGCATAAATACTAGTAAGTGGAACAATAAACCAATGTCTATCTGTCTGTCTCTCTCTCTCAAATCAATAAATAAAAAGTTAAAAACAAAGCTGAAGCTCCTTTTCACTTGTTTTTGAAATAGGAGATGATTATGATAATTATTTTTATCAACATTCAATATATTTTAAAAATAAATTCCTTGGGTTGTTTGGGTTTAATATTTTACGATCTAACATAATTGACAAGATGAAATTAAAGTAGTGAATCTCTAGTGTCTTTGGTTCACTGTTTTAAATCAGTGATTATCAACTATCAAGACATAAAATACCTATTTCAAGGTCCTGACACCTTCCATTCCTAATGTTATTGAAGAAGTGTGCTGCCTGTGCAAATTATATAGATAACAACAACAAAAAAGGTTGAGAATTACTTATGTAAATTATCTAACAGGGAAGGCACATCTCAATTTTTCTATAACTCACTGACTTAGAAATTGTATGTCTTTAAAAACCGGACATATTCCTGGCCGGTATCCTCAGTGGTTAGAGCGTTGGCCCATGAACTGAAGGGTCTCTCTCGAGTTTGACTGCTGGGCAAGGGCATGTACCTGGGTTACAGGTTTGATTCCTGGCCTTGGTTGGGGTGCGTGCAGCAACCAATTGATGTGTCTCTCAGTGTTTCCCCCACTCCCCACTCCCTTCTCTTAAAAAAACCCCCACAAAATAATGGAAAAATTATCCTTGGGTGAGGAATTATAAAAACAAAAACTGGACATAATGAAATCCAGCTCTTCTAAGTTTTATGGTCATCCTTATTAAATAATCTAGATAATTAGAAATACACTGGGGCAGGAATTTTTAAAATGACAAACATATACCAATGTATTATTTTGAGTACATATTTTTATGAGTTATCTGAAATTGCCTTGTCATTAGGAGCGAGACCAATGGCTACCGAATAGGAAAAAAGAAATCCTTCCACAATTAATGTCAATTAGCAAACATTTGAGTAGACACCATGAATAAGGTAAATGCTGCAGAAGACTTAAGAAAGACATGGTGTTTGGATATTTTATTAAGGTGTTAGTCGCCTTATGCAAGAAGGATAGAAAAAAATAAAGGAAGTGAAAAAAGTAAAACAAGGAGAACAACTGGGTCCTGCTATGAGAGAAAAGGAAAAATGTGAAACATCACAGAGAATGAAAGGACAGAACCTGGATATCAGTCAGATATTTATCACTTACATACCTGGTTTTATTTTCATAACCACTGGCTTTCGGTTTTTATCCCTCATTTGTCTGATATCCAACAGGTCATGAGGATTGCCATTATGCCTGGGCCAGCAATAGACAAATATTCGAGACCCACTGCTACCACAGTCCACCACGATACCATAGTTCACATTGGGGTTATTGGTATCTGTAGCTTCAATGTCAGTAACTCGTGCCAAGTACCTAGTTTAGAACAACAAACATATACTTTTGAGACAGAGAGTATCATTCTAAACCTAAAGGAGCAAGTGCAATAAACAAACACCAAGTCGGTGATTTCTAAGTGCAGTGACACCAATATAACATTTTTACAACTGCCAAATGATCAAAGGAAAACAAAACAAGTGACAGTGAAAAAGATAATCTAAATCAGATACACTCATTATTCCTTTAAAGAAGTTCAAACAAGTTCTGAAAAGTAAAATTACTTCCCAACTATCAATATTAACTGAAAAATCAGCTTAAAAGATATCACAGAAGCTTATGTTAAATCCTCTTATGAGGAGGATTTGGTGGTTAATGATTAAACAGTTTCAGAAAGTTTAATTTTTCATGCCATGCTGTATTCAGTACAGCATCTGTTTCCTACAGCTACAGGCTCCTTAAATGCCACCTAATCCCAAAGTCTTGAAGCCATGAAATGAAGGTATGGCATCCCATCTAGAAAATAAATGGTTTGTATTCTCTTACCTTTGAAACTTTTTGTCTCTGGATAGTCGCCCATATTTATTTCGGATTATGACAACAGAAAAGTATAAAAGTGAAACAGCAGCAGCCAGAATACTAATAACAACAATTTGGCGTAAATTGGTATTCAAAATTCGAGGACATCCCACTGGAGAGATGCTAAAATGCCAGGAAGCAGGAAAAAGACAGGAGATGCCAAGTCTGAAATTCCAAAAAAACCAAAACAAAACAGATTTTAAAGCAATCTGCTCCAAAGAGGACTCCCTTCACCTAAACTGATCCAAAACAAGACATTCAGTTTGAGCTGCCCTGACTTCCCTGATAGGCATCTGTATACCAGCACCTTCCATATTACTACTTTGCTACATAACTCATTACAGTCATGTGCTGCATAAAGATGTTCCAGTCAATGACGAACTGCATATATGACAGTGGTCCCATAAGATGATAATGAAGCTGAAAGATTCCCATCACCTAATGACGACATAGTGCAATAACACATTACTCATGTTTGTGGTGATGCTGGTGTAAACAAACCTACTGTGCTGCCAATCGTATAAAAGTGAAGCACATACATTTGTGCACAGTACATAATACTTGATAATGATAAGAAATGACTGTTACTGGTTTATGTATTTACATACTATATTTTTTATCATTACTTTAGAGAGTACTTCCTACTTATAAAAAAGGTTTGCTGTAAAACAGTATCTCATGTTATGCAGACAGCAGCCTCATATATCTCCTGCTTACCGCATCTCTTGAATGCATCATCTTATCTTGTGCTTGATTTAATCTTGTGTTGTTTTGTACAGTGACATACAGGCTTGTAGTCTAGGAGCAACAGGACAGGTATATAGTAGGACATACCATGTAGGCCTGTGTAAGTGCACTCTGTGATTGCACAATGATGAAATTGCCTAACGATGCATTTCTCAGATAGTATCCTTGTCACTAAGCGGTTAATGACTGTATTATAAAATTATATGAATGAGAATTAATATTGATGGTTATGACACTTGTGTTTTCCCCCCTTTCTTGAGAGAATTATGCAGATTATCTGTACCCTGCTTTGTTCCAAAAAACTAGAGACAGCTTACAAGAATAAGTTCAATAACATAAATAAATCTAAAACGCAATCAGGTTTAAGGATGATGAAACCAAAAGACAATTTAGTACATAGGAATGCATGTAATAAGGTAGGTCTTAAACAGTGGCTGAGCATCCTTATGGCCAATAATGTTGCCAATTAGATTACAAAAATATAAATATCTTAAAAGGAGTAAGATTTTCCTAACACTGAATTCCAAGGCAAATCTCTCCCTGAAGATTAAGTGAGAAAATGATATCTTTAAAAACATCCCCATAACAAAGTCAATAAATGAGCTATGTATGTCCTGTGTTTTTGGAAATATTCCTGAAACATTTTTGCAAATAAACACTTCTCAGTTTATGTCAGGAATGAAAGGCTTCATTAGGCTTAAAAAAAAACTTTCTAACTTTAGGATAAATTTTATTGTTTTCCAATTAATTTCTACACTCTCCCCTCTAAAGAGTGCTTCATGGACTCACAGAAGAGTAAGGTATCCTACTAACCCAATGGAAATTTCCATTTGTAGTTTCTAGCCTGCATGAAGGTTCTTGGGCCAGTCCATGGAGTTTATCATCCCCTCCGAGGCTGAGACAGTTATCCTGTGCTTAATACAACCCGTTGCAGATTCCAGCACAACATGCCCTTTATGATAAACTACATTAACTCCTGCAGAATCCACCTGGCATTATCACTTTCTTTCTGTGACAGGTGCCCATGGGGCCCTGAAAGAACAACGGTATAAAACAGAAGTGCAGCACAATTTTGAATACTTTTCACTTAGGATTTATATCCTCCTCCCCCTCAAAATCTGTTTCTGTGGCACCAAAAATCTCGGGCTTCCACTGCAGTGATTAGACACCATCACTCACCTGCCCATGCTGACAGGTCAGAGGTCAGGTAATGTTCTGGGAGTTAGTCTTCAACCACTATTACAGCAACAACGAGGTCCTCCCAGAATGAGAACCCTCCTGTTTCAGGAAGTAAGAAAAATCACCAATATAGCATAATCCAAGAAACGTCAATGTTCACTATCAACTGTATGTTTAAATCCCACCACACATAATCTGGTACATGATCTGTGCACTGAAGCTGTTAAGAAGGGTTTATTCTGAGCGTGTAGCTTCTGCATTAGCACTAATCTAGTTCCTGTCTATCTTTCTGGTCTTATCCCCTGACAGATAGACGGATATGTACCCTATGCTCCAGCCATCTTAAACACAAGCTGCAAGTCACTGAAATGTCCTGCATTTCTCTGCATTTGTAGAATGACTTTTTGGGGCCCAATGTAATCCTAGTGACACAAGTCAAGCATGATTCCTCTGTGAGGACTTCCCCAATCCTCATATCCCCAGAGTATTTGCTCATCACAGCAGTGGGCTGCAGTATTAGACTTGTGGCTGGCTGACTTTCTCATCACAGGGCAAGCCCCTTAGCAGGGACAGCCACTATTCTTCTGTTTCTCCAGTGACCAATGCCTATCACACAAGTGAAGAACAACCATTGTTTGTGTCACGGATGGCTGGGAATGGGAAATGCAAAGATGAATCAGACATGGATCCAGTCCTTAAATTTCTAATGCAGGAGAGGGGAAACCACGCCCCCCCCCCCCCAACCCCATACACAGTGTTAGTAAGGCCTACCTGACAAAGTTAAAAATCACTTTAATTAGTTCAGGTTTTAATAGGTGTCCACATTGTACCATAGACCCAAAACTTAGGACAAACAATATTAATGGTTTAAAATTTTACACAAAAAAGGGAAAAATATGTCAATTACCTAGGTGTTTAAATGAATTTTACTATTTTTGTAAAATAGCTACCTTTTAGCATTTGACTATAGTGAAATTACTACAATATACCTTTATTAGAATTCCAGTGGCTCAAAGATCTCAATATTTTAAACATCCATTAAAATGTAAGATTACATAATCTTGGAATGGGTAAGGCTTTTCTACAATATCAATGTCTTAAACCATGAATGAAAGAAAATACATCTACACATGAGTTTAAGACTTCTGTATGTTTAAAAATAAAAAATCCATTCCCAAACACATAAGGCTTGGGAAAATTACTTATACCATACATGACAAAAGGTAAATATCCCTTACATATAAAAAGTTCATAACATAAATACATAAGAGAAATACAGGAACAAGTGAACAAGGATAATTGGAAATTAATGAACTAAGAAATACAAATGGTTGATAAAAATAACTTCTTTAGTATTTAGATAAATATAAATAAAAACCAAAACTTTACCACTATCAGATTGACAAAAATTAACATCTAAGGATACTTTACTAACAAAGGGGAGCGAGAAACGTCATGAATGCTGCTGGGGAGAACTAAAAAGGTACTAACCTTCTGAGGGCATACTGGTTAACAGATATGGCAATTTTTAATATGCTTACCCTCTGCACAACCCATCACACATCCAGAAATTCATACTTAGAAAACAACAGGGTAAAACTATGTACCCATCATAGTATTGTGCATAATAGCAAAACATTGTTTCTAAACTAATGTGTATTACAGGGAGTGGGTTAAGTTAAACATGGTCCATTTATGAAACAGAATACAATGTGACTATTAAAGGTGATCGTGCAGATCCATATTTATTGTCATGGAAAAGATGTCCATGGTATTTCAGTGAAAAAAACACACCATGCATAAGAGAGGGCAAAATGTTAACAGTGGTTAGTTAATTCTGAGTAGTGAGAAATGGATCATCTTTATTTTTTTCCTTAGGCTTAACTATAGTTTTAAAAGGGCACATATTAATTTTATCATAAAAAAAAACCAACAGAACTATTTAAACAAGCTACCTTTGACTGATATCTTCTGTTTCCAGCATCAAATCCTCTTCTGGGTAGATCAAGAAAGCCTAGCTTAAAAACTCTTCATGACACAGGAATTCTGATCAAAACATTTTTTTGTGATAGTTGAACTAAAGAAAAAAAAAAAAAAAGAATGCTTTAGTTAACAGCCTAAAGTCAAGGTCCTTGGGGGAAGGAAGGCCTTGAATGATTCAATGATGCGTACCATAAAGGGCACTCGGGAATAACAAACCTGACTCCAGTTTCAAGGAGTTTGCAGACTGGTTACAGAGATAATACTAGCACCCAGGAAATAATTAAGAGTACAACAGAAGGCAAAGTTAAATTATTCAGACTAACAGAGTTCAGAGAAGACCACAAGGAAGGCTGGTAAACAGGAACCACTTCCTGAGTCAGAGGCCAACTTTGGATGGGGGAGAATAGAGAATACATTTTTAGCATGATCGTAGCAAATTTAGTAAATGTTATTTAATCTAGTGTTTGTCTTAGGACTTATTTTCGAGATGTGAGGATTTTTTAAAAAAGGATAAATAGGTATTTTTCTATGTTATAAAACTTGTGTTTAAAGACAAAAAGAAAATAGGACAGCTTATAAGTTGCTGATGTAATTACTATTATTTAGGACAAAAGTATGGCTGAATATTACCCAGCAATCAACAATATGGTAAGTTGATCTTAACATGTAAACTCCCATTGTTTTTGCAGCTAAGAATCTTGGCACCACAGTTTAGGGAGGCAAAGTCTTACTAATTCTCTATGTAATAAAAGCCTAATATACTAAGTGTCTGGTCAACCAGTTGGCCATTGAATCAATCAAAACGTAATATGCTAATGATATGCTAAGGCCCCTCAACCACAAGGTATGACGTGCACTGACCACTAGGGGGCAGTCGACTGGTTGACCAGTCGCTATGATGTGCACTGACCACCAGGGGGGCAGATGCTCGGACCAGTAGGTTAGCTTGCTGCTGGGGTCCGGCTGCTCGGACCAGTAGGTTAGCTTGCTGCTGGGGTCCGGCTGATCGGGACTGAGTGCCCTGGAGCCCTCTTACGGTCCCTCCCCGACTGGCCAACCTCCTGTGTTCCTCTCCAGGCCCGATCATGCACTGGTGGGGTCCCTTGGCCTGGCCTGCGCCCTCTCACAATCAGGGACCCCTCGGGTGATGCTGGAGAGCCGGTTTCGGCCCAATCCCACAGGCTAGGCCGAGGGACCCCACTGGTGCACGAATTTGTGCACCAGGCCTCTAGTATTACATAAAAATGCCTAAATTATATTAGACCTATCATCAGAGAAACCCATCTCTCTCACTGAAAAAAACACACAAAAAAACCACAACAAAACAACAGTGAAAACCATATACATCAATTGTAAAGTGAAATGGTTCCTGTGGTGAAAAATGACAATGACAGGAAGGGTGCTTAAAAAGGAATAATGTGAATATTAGAGGTTACAAGGAAGAATTTTTGTGAGAGTGAAAGGAAGGTGAAGTGAAGGATACTCAGTTGTGGGGAAAATACATCAAAACAACTTGATTCATTCTTTGTTTTAAGAAGAATGCATGGAGTTGCATTAGCATCTACATTTTCTTTAGCATTGATTTTTAAATTTAAAATTTTGTCCCCATGTTAAGAGATCTTTTTCTGGTCACACTTTTTTTCTGAATCACCTCTGTCGTTTCCCAAATCTGCAAGTCTGACTTTCCTCAAGTTTCAGTTCCACATCCTGAGCTCACCGATGGCTGTTATCATAAACTCATTTAGTCTGAGTCTGTGGTCACAATCTTTTGGCACAAATTAATAGCACCTTCCAAGTTCTCCAAGTCTAAGAGAGGCATCACCACTGACCAGGGGTATCACCTGGTTCTTAACTTTGATTCCCACTTATCTGTGTGCTATCAATTCTTCCTCAAAAAAATCCACACAGCAAACATGACCACAGAACACATCACAGGCCTCTAGGCAGGTCGCTCACCTTCTACCTGCACCCTGAACGCCCCCCTTCAGAAACAGCTCTCTGTAAAACACTACCTTCAAAACATAATCAGCTCAAGAACTTTCGGGAGCCCATGGGGTCAACAGCAACTTTCCACCAACGGATCCCATCTTATTTCACCAACCTGTTCTTCCTCGGCCACAGATAACATCTTTCTGCCCTAGTGAGGTGGGTCTCTCATTCTTGCCCTGGCCCTTTAATGTCACTTCCTCCTACTACGTCCTGCTGTCAACACCATACTTCCTTCAAGGCACAGGTCAACATTTTCCTTTGCAAAGGTTTAAACTGTTGCACTTTCTCTTGTTTTCCCACACTCTGAAACTGTGTTCATTTTTTAAAAAACATGCTGGAATAAATATATAGGAAACACACATATAATATAAATATATAACTCCCCAGATGAACTTTCTTTTTGTTTCTTCTTTCTAGACTGTACACAAGGATTGAGACCAGGGCTAGAAAACGGTACACCATACATTCAGTAAGCAACAAACACAGGTGGTAAATTAATGTTAAGGTAAACACAGACATAAACGAACTACTTAGACAAATTAGTATTTCGTTTTTTAACTCTGCTCATGTGTCAAGCAATTAACAAACGTGATACAAAGACAAGATGACATCAAATATAACACAAAGAATAGGAGTCTTTTCCGTCTCTTCCAGGCTGGAGAATTAGGTGTTATCATTACACGAGGAAGGGCACAGTCAAAACTGCGAAGTGAAATTAAACTAGGGACTTGGGTCACTAACTTAGAATTCTTTAATAAGCTCCGGTTTATCTTTTAGCGCGGAAGGTGCTGCAGGGTAAAGCATGTCTTTCCTTTCCTGATAGTGATAAAGGTTCTCTGAAAACGCTCCGCACCAGTGTGCACCTAACCGGGTTCTGGAGAATAAGAGAACTGTTCCTTTAAAAGGTGTCCACGCATCACTTAGGACACTGCTCTCATCAAGACTTTATCGCGCAATTAGTTCCATCTTTTTCCAAGGGGAGAGCTAAAGCATGAAATTTAATAAGAGCAAAAACGATACTGAACGTGACTGTAAACGTAATGACAAGGCGCCAGGCGAGAACCCCTGCCCCCGGGCCGGGTCCCTTCTCCCGGGTCGGGTCCCTTCTCCTGGGCCGAATCCCCCCCGCAGTGAGCCCGGATCCGCCCCCGCTACGTGGAAGAGGGAAGACTCAGCGCGGTCACCGGAGCCGCGCGACAGCGCGACGGCCAGGTTCTCCTCCAGGGGCCGGGGGACAGCACCTGCCGCCCTGGGTCACGGGCACTGACGGCCCGGGCGCCCGGATGTGGCCGGGCGGCGGGGGCGGCTTGGACCCAGGGAAGACCGACCGCAGGAGCCGGGAGGCCCGCGGGCAGAGGGGTCGTCCGGGGTCCAGGGCCCTCGTCGCCCCGCCGAACCGCACGGTCCAACTGTCTCGGCCCCGGCCGGCCGCCCTCCCACCGTCCGCGCCGCGAAGGCCGCTCACCCGTGCTGCAGCGCCTGACTCGGCGGCCGGGACTCCCAGGGGCGGGGAGCCGTGAGCGGAGCGCATCACGGCCACCACCGAGAGGCGGCAGCGGGCACGCGCTCCCGGCTTCCCGGGAGCCACACCGCCGGCCGGCCTCGCCCGCGGTGCGTCACGCCGCGCCGGGAGCGCGCGCGCCGGGGGGCGGGGTCTGCGCCGGGCAGACTGGCGTCACGTGCAGAGCTGTCTTGCGTCAGCGTGAGGGCGTGGCTCTGCGCAGTGAGTGCCGGAAGTGAGAGTGGTGTCCCGGAAGTGGCCGGCACCGTGGCTTCGTTACCACCAGTCGTAGTCTGTCTGGTTGTCAGAGAGGTTCATGGTGCTTATGACACTGCAGGTTATCTTTCCGTTGTGCTTCTAAGGATTATGGGAAATCACACTTGAAAACCCAGCAAAAACTAAGCATTTCTGCTCAACTCTTGACATTTTTACAACTTTACCAGTAGCTATCCCTATTTTACAGATGGGGAAACTAAGATGCAAACTCATTCAGTGAATTTCTTAATGTCCACGTCATTAGTCAGAGTCAGGATTTCATTCTTGCCAAAAGTTGCTCGTATAATCGCTTATTCCGGGGGAGGCAGACGGCCCCAACACACGCAAAGGTGGACAGCACCGGCTCCTGAGGTTGACCCATGACCTGACACTTAGCTCAAGGCCCCTCTCGGTAGCTTGACAAAACCTGCCTTGAAGTCACAGAGCTGGAAGAGATCGTGAGAATCGTGGCTTCTAACCTTCTCCCTGTCTTTTGTTACAGGTGAATGAACTGCTTTCCAGAAAAAGGAGGTGACTAGACAGGCTAACCACCTACAATTTTTTTTTTTTTTAATGAGAGTCCTAGAAACATCTACTCCATTACTTTCGTCAAGTCAAACAAGCTTGGACAGAACCAGTAGTTACACATTTTAAGCAGAATCCTTCTTGGTCCAGCATCAGATGGGGTCATCTCCTCCTGGTAATGTTTCACCCCTGGATACAGATACTCTTCATGGAAGACCAGCAGTGACCAGGAACCTTGTGCTTTAGAACCAAATACTGTCTTTTTAACAATCGCTCCTCATTACAATCATAAAACCACAGAATGTTCCAGCCAAAGGAGCCCCAGGAACTGTCTAGTCCAAACAATCTCCTTTTACTGCTAAGGAACTTGCTCAGGATCCCCTGGAGGCGAAGGGGAAAGCAGAACCAATGGTTCTGACTCTTCAGGGTCCTTCTATGGCAATCTGTTACTATTTAAAAAAAAAAAGAAAAAAAAGACCTGTTTGGATAACTTACACGTTAGAAACCTCTGTGACATGCACCTAAGGCTAGCTCTGAGAAGCTGAAGTAATTGGCCACTGACATGATCCCTCAAAATTACGTGCCCTTTAATGTCCTTACCATTTCAGATACTGGCTTAGATTATGACAGTCTCTATTAAGGAGGCCTCCACAAAAATGCCAGACTAATACTATTGCACCATCCGTATTTCCTGATAATTCATATGTAATAATTGTTTGCTAAGAGCTAGGAAAGAAAGTATAAAGAAGTATGAAAACATGTAACATGGTGAATTAGTTTTCTAGGTCTGCTGTAACAAACTACCCCAAAATGGGTATCTTTAGATGACAGAAATGTATTTTTTCACAGTTCTGGATGCTAGAAGTCTGAAGTCAAGGTGTTGGCAGGGCCATGCTTTCTTGGAAGGCTCTAGGGGAGGATGTTTAGATTCTGGTAGTTGGTGGCAATCGTTGGCGTTCCTCAGTGTGTAGATGCATCACTCCAGTCTCTGCCTCTCTTGTCACATGGTGTTCACCTGTGTGTGTGTCTATGTCCAAATTTCCCACTTCTTACAAGGACACCAGTCATGTTGAATTTAGGGCCCACTCCAATCCAGTATGATCTCTTCTTAATGTAATTGCATCTGTAAAGACCCTATTTCTAAATAAGATCACATTTACAGATTCTGGGTGGACATGAACTTTGGGGTGGGGGACACTGTTCAACCCAGTATGTGAGAGGACCATCTCAGTCTGGGTCATCAAGGAAAGCTATTTTGAGGAGATAATATCTGAAGTCACACTTTCAAGATGAATAGAAATTAACTAGAAGAAGGATGTATCTTGGGCCTATATGGAGTATTACTTCAGTCAGTGGAAACAGAAGAGGCTCAGAAGGAAAAGAATAGAACTGTCAGAGTGATCCACCAATTTATTCTCACTTTTTAACAAGAGAAACAACAACAACAAAAAACTAAGCTAATAAGAGATACCACTTACTAGAATTATGCCAGGCACAATTCTAAGAGCATCAGAAAACATTTCAAATAGAATGATAATGAAATACATAAGAGTTCATGAAATGATAAAATGCAGCTACAGCAATACTTACCAAGAAATTTATAGGTTTAAAAGTATATTTTAGTAAAGAAAAAAGTTTGAAATTAATTATCTAAGTTTCCATCTAAATAAGTTAGGGCAAGAAAAGCAAAGTAAACCTAAAGTGAGTAGAAGAAAAAGAAAATAATTTTTTTTAAATAAGACAAAATTAACAAGCCACAAGTTAGTTCTTGAAAAGTATTAATAAAATAGATAAACTCCTAATGAGATTGATCAGGGGAAAAAAAAGATAGAAAACACAAATAACAAATATCAATAATAAAAGAGAAACATCATTACAGATCCTACAAAGTTGAACAAATAAGAAAGCATTATGAACAACTATATGCTGATAATTTCAATATAAAATGGAAAAATTATTTGAAAAACATAATATCCCAAAATTGACATGAGAAGAAATAGAAAACCTGAGTAGACCTGTGTTTTTAAAGATCCCCTTCCCCTACCCCTGCCACCAAATTCCAGCCCCAGATGGTTTCACTTGTAAATGTTATCAATTACATAAAAAGGAAATCATTCCTATCTTACATAAATTATGTCAGAAAAATAGAGAAGGGGACACTTTCTAACTCATAATGCAAGGTCAGAATAATCCTGACACCAAGAAATAAAAAAGAAAGAAAATTATATGTCAATATCCTTTAGAAACACAGATGCAAAAATTCTAACAAAATATTGGCAAATGAAATCCAGCAATATCTACAAAATGTAAGATAGCTTATCCAAGTGGGATTTTTGCAAGGAATACAAGGTTGGAATAAAATTGATCCGTGTCATTTATTACATAAGCAGAATAAAGGAAACAACTCATATAATTCATATGATCTCAATCAATGCAGAAAAATAATGTTTCACAAACTTCAACATTCATTCATGATTTAAACAAAAAAGCTCTAATCAACTATAAATGGAATGATTTTCCTCAGTTTGAGAGGGTTTCCATAAAAGAACAAGTTCAAAATACCTTGTTACTTGTTTGTTATTTTTAAAGTATTAAATAAAAGTTTGAAAAAGAATGTGACATCTGGACTGCAGAAGCCATCTTGCAACCACAAGGCAACAATAATGCAGATAAGAAGCCAATACTAAATATGATGAAATAGGAAGATAGAGTTTCTTATGGCATCATCTACTAACATCGAACCACTGAACTAGTACCAACTATTAGGTCTACCTCCTGACTTTTTTTTTTTATAAGAGGCAAATAAAGCTCTTTTTAAAATTACTTTTGGCTGAGTATTCCATTACTTGATGTTAGGTCTTTAAAAATATTTGTTGACTGGTTGAAAACAAGAAGGGACACCAAGAGGTCATATTTCCCAGCTGTCCCCAGTTAATTTAGATTTCATTTACATTTTATAGATGAGACAGCTGAGGTCTGAGAGGCAAAGTGACTTGCTCAAGCTCCTAAAACTGGAACAGAGACAGGACGATGGAATGTGAAGAGTACCACACAGGGAGGTAGAAACTTGAATTCTGGTCCCTGCTACACTACTAACTGACATGTAAGCTTAGAAAAGTGAGTGTACCTCCTTGGTCCTCACCATCCATATATAATTTTTGAAAAGAAATGGGGAGTCCCCCCCGCAAAAAAAAACCCAACCCAATGTGCTTTTCTGTGGTTGTGTTTTTTAAATTATGATTAAAGTGCAACATTTGGCCCTGGCTGGTTTGGTTCAGTGGTTAGAGTGTCGGCCTGAGGACTGAAGGATTGCAGGTTCGATTCCCATTCAAGGGCACATACCTGGGTTGCAGGTTTCCCAGCCCTGGTAGGGGTGCATTTGGGAGACAACTAATTGATGTGTCTCTCACACATCAATGTCTCTCTCTCTCTCTCTCTCTCTCTCTCTCTCTCTCTCTCTTTTTCCCTCCTCCCACCTTCCCACTCTCTCTAAAAATCAATGGAAAAAGTATCCTTAGGTGAGGATTAACAAAATAAACTAAAGTGTAACATTTGCTTCTGAAGGAAAAGAAGGGGAGTGGGGAGGTGGCTAGGTTGGCCTTTAAGGTCCTTTTGATGTCTAAAATCATGATTTCTAAGAGACAAGAGAGAAGATTAGGAACAGTTCTTCCCATTATACTTTCATTCTTCCCCTCTTTTCCTCCCCACTTCCTCTTCCTTCTTCTTCTCATTAGAAAAATCAAACATAAAATAAAAGAGTCCTTTCTTTTCTTTTCTTTTTTAAAAATTACACTCCAGGTTCCTTTAAACTGTGCATGTGGAAACCTTGATGAGTAGATTAGGGCAGGTAAAACAGCCATGAGTATTTAAAACTCAAACAGGATTTCTTTTTTAGCCTCACCGGAGGATATGTATATTGATTTTGAGAGAGAGAGAGAGAGAGAGAGAGAGAGAGAAAGAGAGAGAGAGAGAGAGAAGAAAGAAGAAGAAGAAGAAGAAGAAGAAGAAGAAGAAGAAGAAGAGGAGGAGGAGGAGGAGGAGGAAGAGAAGAGAGGGAAAAAGAGAGAGAGAAATAATGATATGAAAGAGAAACATCTATTCGTTGCCTGCCATACACACACCAACCAGGTGTACAGGACAAAGCTCCAAACAACTGAGCCACCTGGCCAAGGCCAAACAGGATTTCTTTTTAATTATCTTTCCAAAAAAACATCCAATCTAGCAATTGCTTGAAATTTTGCTTGCTTTGCTCTCCAAATGTGTTTTTTTAAAATATATTTTTACTAGAGGCCCGGTGCATGAAATTTGTGCACTGGCGGGGGGGGGGGGGTGG